TCTCTCTCTCTCTCTCTCTCTCTCTCTCTCCTGCCTCGTGTCCCTGTATCCCCTCTCTCTCTCTCTCTCTCTCTCTCTCTCTCGTCATTCTGTCCATCCCTCCTCTCTTTTCTGTCTCTCTCATGCTTCTGTCCCTCTCTCTCGTCCTTCTCTCTTTCCATCTCCCTCCATTAGAGCAAATAAAATGTGTTCTAAATCATTAGCTTTCCACTGGACCTGCTGCACTTTTAGGGTTTTGAGGATGCCCGGTATTTTTGTGATTGAACTCAATGGACGTGTGTCTTTTTGTCAGCCTCATTACCCATGTAATCAGTAAAGGACTGCTTTCAGTTTGGTATCTCTAGTGTAACTTCGAAGCACCTAATACCGATCTCCTTCTGGTAGGGTAACAAATGACGCTCGGGAAGATGAGATGGAGGAGAATCTAAATCAGGTTGGGAGCATCTTGGGAAATCTAAAGAATTTGGCTCTAGATATGGGAAATGAGATCGATTCCCAGAACAAACAAATCGACAAGATTAATGAAAAGGTAGGAGCCTTGCTGTTTGATTTGTTCATCACCTTTTTAGTTTTATTTTGTATGCTGTTTTATTTTATTGAATTTTACAGGAATACTATAATGGTTCTCTTTTCCTTTTATTTTAACTTTGTTTTGAAACGTTTGTGTTTAGAAGTATTATTTTATATCGTGGTTTTTTAAAATATATATATATATATATATATACATACATACATACATACATACATACATACATACATACATACATACATACATACATACATACATACATACATGTTTTTTTATGTTGTGAATATTTAAAGTGGAACTTTAGCCTGAATCCAGGGTAGGCACCTCTTTCCATATTGTCACTTACGCTGTGCATGTTATGAAGACTTCATTCCAGGTTTGCCCTCCTCCATCACTGATGACATCACAGTCCCCATTGCTGCTCCATGCAAACATTTTAATAAAAAATAAACTGCTGTAGGTTGTGAAATGCAGGTACCTACAGATTTCCACACGATTCTATTGGCCAGTGAGACAGTCCATCATAGTGATGAGCCAATAGGAATGTAGGGAGTGGGAGGGTAAGCTCTGACACTTTGCCCAATTAGAACTGCATATCATTCAGGCAGAGCAGCATCAAATGCTGCAGCAGGTATGTTTTAGTAAGAACACCCTGTTCTGCTGCTGCAAAGGTAAAAAATGTTTCTAACAAAATGGAACTAAATAGTTTGAATATTTGTATTGTGCACCTTGGTTAAAAGAGAACTATGGGGTAACCTTTTTATCCCATAGTTCTCTTTAGGGTCAGGGGAGGACATATATTCTAACTCCGATTTGTTGTATTAGCGATTTATCCCTTGCGGAGACCTTTATGCCTGGCCATCAGATAGCTGAACTCATCAAATACCACAAAGTGCTTTTATTCCGTGCAGCAGGTTACGCAGACAACCAGATACAGCAGATGGATGAATAGACTGTATTTAAGGCGGTCAAGGATGATAATGTTTACAGCTAGCATGTACATGTGGTCCTGTTACAAGCACCATGACTCTCGTGGCTCGTACTGAACAAGAAGGGGGAAATACATCATAGATGGGAAGGAACGCAGAAAAACATGCAACCACTGGGAGAGGAGGAGAGACACAAGGTAAGTATATGGACGGCGTGCACCCGCATGCTGACACCGTGGGACAGGAAGTGCCAGCAAGGACTGAGGAGTCGGCGCTGGATCGGAGGGAAACATTTTTTTGACTTTAATATCACTTTAAGGAAAATAAACTATATAAATTTTAATTTCACATTTCTATGAATATTAACTATGACTATGAACTGTATGATATTGTTACAACTATTGTGACATCACAACATATACTAACCTTCTCCTGTGATCCAAAGCTCAGTATATACCACAAAAACAAACAAAAGACCAGGAGCGCAACTACCAAAATTCCTTGTGTGTTAGTAGGTGAGTATGATCTGGCGAAGGGACCAGTGGACATATAAATGAGGACAGAGTCAGGCACACTATTGGATCTTTAGAGTGTGGGGTTTAGGTGTCTATGGCAATGTCACAGTGGTAGAAAAGGGGACTTACAATTAGGAGCTCCCCTGTTGTCTGTACGATCATCTGCTTGGATCGATCCTGGTGTCTCCGGTGGTGTGGGAGGATGGTCTGGAATGGATGTACATCTGTTTGACCATCCACAAACTCGACTGGCCGGGCCGAGCCGCGTCCGTCAGGAGCAGACAGCAAGGGGGGAGGGGCTACGTGCTGTTGAGTGACCCGTGCGCCACGTGTCAGTGCTGGCAGTCGGGTTGTGGTCACAGGGTTGTGGTCACAGGGGTACAAAAGTATCGGATGTCTCCAGTGGCTACGCGTTTCGAGGGGTTGCCTCTTTATCAAGCCTCAAGATACTGGAGACCGCGGGAGATCTGTCTTCTTTTTAAATTTAACAAGGGGGGAGGCGTGTGATTTCGTGGAGCCCAGTGATAGGCTGCCACTCGCGTGGGGGGAGTGGATTAGCAGTCTGGGTCAGTCTTGATTGTGAACTGTCAGTGCTCTAGCCGATGGAGATCTGTAACCTTTAGTAACCCTTCGGTCTTATCAGGGGCTAGCATTTAATTGGAGACGGTCTATTCTGTGTTTATACGTACAGTATATCTCGCTGGGTCTCGGGGGGATGATTATTCCTCTCTGTATAACTCTACTCTTTATTAAAAATGTTTTTGTGTGTTTTAGACTGTGTATATGAAAGGATTTTATTGGTGTTAAAAACAAAAACATGGTGGTGGACTCCACTTGAGTGGATAGAACTAAAATGTTTTTGTGTGTTTTAGACTGTGTATATAAAGGATTTTGGTGTTAAAAACAAAAACATGGTGGTGGACAGCACTTGAGTGGATGGAACTAAAATGCATACAACCACAAATGTACACACATATATGAAGAACCACATACACACATACACATATATGTACATACACACATACACATATATGCATATATTTGTGTTTTCTATTTGTTTCATTGCGAGGTTTGATATAAGCTGCACTCCATCCCCTTTTTGGGCATAAAGATGGCTTTCCCACACAAAGAAAAATTATTAAGACTTATCTTCTCTGATAGTAAACTATACCCCAACACATCTAAACTCCCATACCTTACCAGAACCAGGTTTAACAATTGCCAAACGCTTGGTCATCACCCCCCACCACATTCTCCCACGTTTGAACTTAACATGCGCAAACAATTTCTAACATTACAGACACAGACCAATATAGAAAGCCAGCAATGGTGGGATATAGCCTTTCTAGAACAATACCTCAAATTAGGCATTACGCCAAGAGGACTCCGGATCCAGAAAACCTGTGATTTTCTGGAACAGGACCTCGCATCAAACTGGCACCTTCTGGCAGAATTCTGCACAAAAAAGTGGATGGAGCTGATTGTCATACAGAGAAAACGTAAACTAGAACACATCTCTAAGTTAATACAAGATCTCCGCACCAATATAAATAAGTCTTTCAGCATGTCCTGTTTGTTCAGCCCCTGGATGAAAAATTTAGAACAGCTTACTAAAACACAGGAATATAACATCATTAAGTCCAAATCCAATAAGCTACTAAGAGACATTGCAGACTACAACTTGAACAGAGTGTTCAGTTGAAAACAGACTTCTCGAAAACATTTCAAACCCAATCCAGTTCCCCTCATGGCCATCCATCCGGTAGCCTCCATTAGAGTGGCTAATCTCATATGGGACGACATCTCCCTCAAATACCACCCTGGGTCAGTCCAGACTTCAAAGGAGACACCAGATAATCAATCAGAGGATCCAGCCAATCCACCCAGTTCAGAATCCCGTCCCTCGTCCACCACCCCTGTCCCCGATCCTGCCATAACCACCACACAAGTTCACACATCACCAGGGACCACCCTCATTGAAAACCCCCCCAATGAAACCAGAGTATCTCCGGGTCAATTCAATGGGTCCCAAAATGGGTCAAATCCGTCTTTTTTAGGGGTGGGCCCACTTCACACCCCAAAATAAAAATAAAAAACCAGAAGAGGAATCAGAGGGGGGGAAAAATAGCAAAAATGCCAAAGAAAGAAGTTTTAAGAATACAAAAAACCCCACCACAACAATAAAAATTTTCAACCTGTCCAAACATAACCTCACTTCCAGCGAATTATCACTACTCCAAAAAGGTCTAAACTTTGCCCCGGACACTAAACCAGACCCATTTACTCTCTTTAAAGATCATAATAAGTTTATTAGGCTACTGACCCCCCGAAGACACTATGCCAACAACTCTACAGCAGCTCCCACTAGTGTCATCTCCCCTATGATCCCCTCCGAACTAGAGACACTGGTGGACCTCTTTGACGAGAAAGATGGGGATGTGCTGCAAACCCTTTACGATCTAGTAGATCAGAGTTCTTCTTTGGACTTTGAGCTTGACCACCTTCTAAATCCAGATATCATCCAAACCACCTTTTAGACCTAAATCAACTTTCTTTCCATTACACTCCAAGGGCCCATTTATAGACACATTTTACCATGTGGTCTATGCTGACCTTTTGGTAGCATGCACCAAAGCGAAGCACCATCACAACCTTACCTCAGCAGAAAGTAGGGCATTGAAAGACCTAGAATCCAATCAGAAAATCGTAATCAAACAAGCCGATAAGGGAGGAGGGATTATAATCCAGGACCGCCCTATTTACATCCAAGAGGCCCGCAGGCTGTTGTCTGATTCCATCACCTACAAACCCCTCCACGATACACCCAGCTGGCTGACAGTGGGCTCTGCCTATCTTTGTCGTAATATCAGATGTTTTGCAGATAGTGTATTTACATGACAATAAAATCTTTCTGCGTAGAACCTTCAGAAAATGTAAATATTCTGCTTTAGGTCTACTAGTCCTTCGTATTTAAACTTGATGTTTTGTAGTCCTCTAATGATAATGTATATTTTTGTTCCAGGCAACTGCTAATAAAGAGCACATTGATGAGGCCAACAAGAAAGCTAAGAAACTTATTGAGTGAAGAAACGAACATGAAGTCTTTCCCTCTGGCCCTTGTAATGTACTTTAATACGACATCACAATATCACAGATAAAAAGGTTCTAGTGGAGGAATCAGCTTGAGAATCCATCCTGTTACCGTGTCCTGTTCATTATATCCCCATGAAGGGTCCTGTTCCTTCCTGACCTTTCATGGGACAAAGCATGTGTTGTTTCGCCCGCATTACACACTGTTCAACCTGTTTTAAGAAAAATTACTTTACAGCTTTCAAAATGCACCTTAAATACCCGTGACCTCCCTTTTTACTTGCCTCCTGCGAGTCTTCTCTAGGCTTTAAGAAGGATCCTGAATCCCTTTTCATACACACTTTCCGCGCATAGATTTTCTCATTGGCATGTCCCTTGGTAATGCATATTATGGGATATTGATGCGAAGTCTGGTGTCACCAAAATCTTTGATGGAGGATGAGATGGTGGTGGAGTTATTGGTAATATGCAGTTATACAGAAGTTTGTCGGAAATGCCCTTATCCAAAGAAATACCAGTCTATTTGTTTTCTGCGTTCTGGGGGAGCCATTCAGTTATCCTATTTCAATGTTCTGCTGTAGACTGGGGGGGGGGGGGGGAACTTTTGTAGTGTGTGTGTGGGGGGGGGGGGGGGGGGGGGGAACATTTGATTAGCTACTGACAATGGTTGCTGTTTTATTACACCTGCGAGTACATTAAAGGTATTCAATGGGCTGCAGAGCTACAATGCAATAATTAAAAAGTGCCTACACATGCCTCTACATGAGGTCCTCATTCCTGCATGCATACCACACATGCTGCCCCTACCATGTGCCCATTGTTCATTGAATTCACCCAACACATTAGGAGGAACTGTGAAAACATGCTCTTTATAGCACCCAGGGTAATGAAATGAAACCTGTGCATATATCACTCAGTGTCTCCATTGTATATCTGTAAAAAATAAGTCAAGGCAACTGGATTTGCTGTATTTTTTCTTGAAGACATTTCACTGGTCATCCAACTAGCTTTCTCAATTCAGAACTTCAGCTTTCACAATTCTGAATTGAGAAAGCTGGTTGGATGACCAGTGAAACGTCTTTCAAAAAAAAAAAATACAGCAAGTCCAGTTGCCTTGACTTCTTTTTTACAGATATATTATGCCCTGGATGAATGAGAACCTTCACAGTCATACTGTCTCCTTGTAGTTCTGAGTCCCTTATATGGCACTGACAGGTGTAGTGTCTCAGTACATAAGCCTGAATGTCTATAAAGGTGCATTGTTAATAGTGAACAGTTAGGTAAGGCTTTTTCCTTGTCTTTTTTTTTAACCTGTTTTTATTTGCTGCTTCCTTACATACGTATAATCGTAGGGAGCGCTGACATTGTCCTGCCTAATATTTTATCAGAGAAAACTATTTGGAATGTCACTATTGTGTCTACGATATTGCAGGACACGGCCATCTATAATAAAAAGGTTTAAAGTGAAATGTTTAACATCTTTCAGCCAATATTGTTCATTTTTGAGAGTAGTAAAGAAGTAGATAGAATCTTTGTACTGGGTTTGGGTGACCTCTGGCCCTGCAGCCTCTGCGCAAGGAAAGTGTTCGGGCTTTGCATTTTTTATCATCTCTAATAATGATAGGAAAGCTGGCCATACGGTGATACAATTCCCACTGAGTTAACTAAAATGTGATCCTTAGGTGGCCCCGTTGGCACTTCCCTTTCCTTTCAACTTTTGTTGAAGAATCCAGCCCAGAAATTCTTGCGTTCAGTCTGACACAGGCGCTGTTCAGGTATTCAGCGGCCAGTGGAGCAGCAGCTGCTCAATACAATAGCTGGCAGGGGAGATTGCTCAATCCATGTTGTTTATCAGGGATGGGGGAAACAATGGATTTCTCTTTTTCAGCCCGGATGGCTCAATGAGAGGGATTCTAAACATATACATCCAGCTCTTCATTTGAAATATGCCATTCTTTTCAGTCTTTTTAAGCATGCAACGAGGAACATTCTGTAAATACATATCCTGCTCTCTTGTTAAGAGTATCAGATGGCACAGCACACCTTGGCTAAAACAACACTGCTGACAGACCACCAAGGGAGTGTTCATATCATTAAATGCCTTGGCAGCCTGCCGTGGGATCTCAGAGCAGTCTTCTTTTTGCCAGGGTAAGTCTTTTGCTATTTGAGTTCAAAGGAAGCCAGCTATTTTCTTGTCTGTTTTAACTATTAATTATACTGAATGTCATTCAGTGAAGGCGGGTGAGTTAAAGTGACACTAACCTCAGGAGCTAAACCTTCAAAATGCATTCAAGTACCTTAACTATCAACATAAATGTATCTGATTATGTATCACTTGGCTGTAGACCCTCAAATTATCTCTGAATTGGTGCTTACACTGTCCTTCCTTCTGGAGGGTGGATACTTTTGTTCCCCATGGTCCCTGTGTGTGTTGTAAAGTAGCCACCGCTCCAAGCTCTCTCCTGTGATGGACTACAATCCGCTAATTTGTATTGAGATTGTATTCCATCACGGGAGTGAGTTTGTAGTGGTGGCTACTTTACAACACACACAGGGACCATGGGGAACAAAAGTAGCCACCCTCCAGAAGGAAGGACAGTGTCAGCACCAATTCAGAGATGGTTTGAGGATCCACAGCCGAGTGATACACAAAATAGGAGACATTTTATGTTAATAGTTAAGGTACTTGAATGCATTTTTAAGATTTAACTCCTGAGTTTAGTATCACTTTAAGCCTAATGTGTAAATAGGGTTAACATTCCTCTCCATGCCATTGATTTGAAGTCTGCACCAAGTACTTTAGTTTCCAGTCCCGCAGCTGTAAGGATTCCATTTTATAGCAACACTCAGAAATGTGGCTGATGTATGTGCAGCACAGCAGGGGCTCAGCACTGTAAATCAGTAGGACAGGCTTGTCTTCCCTCCCATTCACCTACATGCATTTAGTGGATCTGCCCTTTAGGACGGAATCTTGCCTAATAGGCTGTTAAAATACCTGTTGTAGAGAGAGAACACTTGAAGGGATTGTTTAACGTTTTAGCTTTTGAAATCTTAGCAGAAAAACTCAGGCTCTTAACAAGACAGAAAATAATTTAGAAATGTGTACATAAGAAAGTTAATTTTAGTTTACTCTGCAGTCAATATCTTTCTCAGGAAGCTGTCAGGGAGGTACTAACCCAAAGACAAGTGCAGATCAGGGTTTAACATTCCCGTCTCCTACATTACAAGCAGAAGTCACACAACCAATAGGATTAAAATCTGCTTCATAGACAAAAGTAACAAAAAAAACCAAAAGTGTCTTGGCAGTTGCTATGTAAAGATGCCATGTAGCTGGATAATAAAAACTGGAGAAAATGATCAGATTTTATATATAAAAAAAATTGAATTTTATATTTGGTTTCTGCATAATGTGAAATGTGGTTTATGTCAGTTTTGTCATAAACCAGCCCCAGTGTTGTCACTTCTGTTCCTCTAGAAATCTACATATTGGCCTGTATATAACAATCACAAGCCTTCTGTGTAAATCTATTCTGATAATCCATAAAACAAACCATTGGCAATCTTTCAGGGTATATTTGTGACCAAACGTTAGAGAGACAAAAACATTCAACTAATTTTTTTTTTGACAAGAACAAAGAATCCTCTGATGTCAATACGTTCTGCTTTGTTTGGATCCTTGATGACAATACGTTCTGCTTTGTTGTTTTGGATCCTTGATGACAATACGTTCTGCTTTGTTTGGATCCTCTGATGTCAATACGTTCTGCTTTGTTTGGATCCTTGATCCTTGATGACGATACGTTCTACTTTGTTGTTTGGATCCTTGATGACGATACGTTCTGCTTTGTTGTTTGGATCCTTGATGACAATACGTTCTGCTTTGTTTGGATCCTCTGATGTCAATACGTTCTGCTTTGTTTGGATCCTTGATGACAATACGTTCTGCTTTGTTGTTTGGATCCTTGATGACGATACGTTCTACTTTGTTGTTTGGATCCTTGATGACGATACGTTCTGCTTTGTTGTTTGGATCCTTGATGACGATACGTTCTGCTTTGTTTTATGGATCCTAAGCAGAGTTCCTAAAATATTCAAATGCTGATATAATGTTTTGTAGTCTCCATGGATCGGTGTCAGTCCACCCAAAATGATATTTTTGGCATTACTGGAGCCTGATAAGTTGAGTTATTCTTAGGGGGGGGGGAGTGCTGCCCTCCTTACCGGAACCCCTATGTATAAAGGATGGCACCGTGCATCTTCATATATGATAAATGTCAGCAGCACACCTATGACTTGTGTCAATAATCCATCTTCTTTATTGATGCTGATTTTGTTTTGTGGCAGTTGATTTATTTGGTAAGTAGAGTTGACTCCTGGCATACTTACTGTTCTGGATACTTGAACAGTGAAATCTTCTTCCACGTTTGATGTACAGACCCCGGAGCTCCAGCACACAGTCTCACCAGCAGAACATGAGCGATAAAGGAAATGATCAGGTGCCAGGTGGTTTTAACTCTCCAACATTTTAAAAAAATGTAATTTTTGGGTAGACTGACCCCTTTTATATTTAAAGCATTTAAGCTAAACTTTCTAACTGCTTGATGATTTACTGTCCTCACCTTCCCCAGGAGTGCTGAAGTTTGTGTGAGCCTTGGGAACGAGCTTCCATAGTTCCATCAAGGAGCTTCCATAGATATCTATTTGCTTTGAGGGGTAGCAGTGGCAGCACCTAACCTTGATTTTAAATAAGGGCTCCGACTCTGCAGCTTTTGGCCCTGTCAGATGTTCACTGTATCTCTTGGTGAAATGTTTGAAAAGTATTTCTTGATGAATACCAAACGGCTTCTGCCCCTGTGCCTTGAACTTGATAATATGCCATGGAATGTATTATAATTATACCTCTCGGAATGTTTTCTAACAGTGGAAAGTGCAGTGATCTATATTATCCCTCCGCAGACATCTATGTATTTTTCTGAATACACTGGGCTTCTAATGTGCCACTGTAGCAGGGCGGCCCAGTAATGATATTTATACCAGTCATATTGGCTCATTTGATGATGTTGTCTACAGAATTGTTTGTCAACCAGATTTAATACTGCAAGGATTGCATTCTTGTTTTGTCTAGGGGAGCAGAAACTGTAACTATACTTCTATACCTTTTCCTTGTTCCC